AGTGCATTGCTGCGGCCACTGTCGATCCAGCTTATCCAGGGCCTCCCACTCCTTCGCTGCCCCCTATCAGTCATGAAGCATGTCTTGCTAGCAATCCTAACCTCTAAGGAGCACTCTGGCCATGTTGCTTCTAAGACAGATTTGTTTGTTCTTTGGGGAGTTCGTGGTACTTTCAATATTCTTCATTAGCAGCATAGTTCAAATGTATTCATTCTTCTATAGCCTTCTTTATTCAACAATCCAAATTTCACAGGCATATGAGGTGAGTAAAAATACCATGGCTCGAGATCACCAATGCTTGCTTTGAGCCAGCTAACCAGTGGGAGAAATGTGACCCCCGCCATGGTAAAGACATGGCTTGCTGCCAGTTGTACCATGGTGACGTGGTTCCCAAAGATCTCAGCGCTGCCATTGCCACCATCAAGCATACCATCCAGTCTGTGGATAGGTGTCCCACTTGCTTCCAGGTTGGTATTAATTCCTATCATCCCATTGTGGTCCCTGGAGGAGATCTGGCCAAGGTGCCGTGAGCCGTGTGCATGCTGAGCAACACCACAGTCATTGCTGAGGCCTGGGTTCGCCTGGACCACAAGTTGACCCGATATTTGCCAAACGTGCCTTTGTTCACCGGTACGTGGATAAGGACATGGAGGAAGGAGAGTTCTCTGAGGCCTGTGAGGGACTGGCTGCCCTGAAGAAGGACTGTGAGGAGGATGGAGCAGATAGTGCAGATGGAGAGGATGAGGGTGAGAGTATTAACCTGTCACATTATACACTCCGTTGTCTTGGGACTTGTGTATCTGTTGTCCTGTAAAACTGTCCTGTGACCCCTGTCGATAAAAGTGTTTTCTTTTTAAATGTAAAAAAAAAAAAATACCGTGGTTTGGGTCAGGCAAGCCTTAATCCTCAAATTAGTTTTTTTGCTTTTCAACACTCTAACGAGATCCTGTGAAGTAGATTTACCCAATGCAATGAGTCCTAGGATCTCTTGACTACTGCTTCCATGAGCATTGATTGTGGATATAAGCAAGACAACATCCTTGAGAATTTCAAACTTTTCTCTATATTTAGCATGCTTTTACCTCATGGTCCAGCTGTGATGATGTGGGGTCTGTTTTGCATTGAGTTATAATCCATACTGCAAACTGCTATCCTTGCTCTTCATCAGCAACTGCTTCAAGTCCTCCTCACTTTCAGCAAACAAGTTTATGTCATTTGTATATTGCAAGTTATTAACTAGCCTTCCTCCAAACCTAATGCAGCATTCTTCTTCATCAAATCCAACTTCTTTGGTTATTTGCTCATTCTGGCTACTAATAATCTAGTAAAAAAATGCTAGGCTTGATTTTGGAGTCTATTCCGAAAGAATCATCGGTCAAGAAATCAAATGTTACATAGTAAGGAGCAAATCTGCAGCACAGACCTCCTTCACGTGTAGAAGCACAAGGAGGCCACTCTGAAGACTAAGGTGAACCTGATTCCGGGCATGGTATTCAGCTACCTCATCTGCATGTGAAGATTGGACATTGAGTAAAGAAAACTGAAGACGAATCGGTGCTTTGGAATTGGGTGCTGGGAAAGAATGCTGAACGTATCATGGACGGTTATCAGGACAAACCTAACGGACTTGAAAGAAATACAGCCAGACTTTGTCTTCATTACTTTGGGTATGTTGTCAGGAAAGACTAGTCCCTGGAAACAGACATCCTGTTTGGGAAAGGAGGGGCGTGAAAAAGAAGAAGGCCTTCATGGAGGTGGGTTGGCACCGTGGCTGGAACAACGGACTCGGGCATAGGCATAACTTTGAGGATGGCGCAGGACTGGGCAGTGTTTTGTTCTGTTGTGAAGAAGGTCGCTGTGGGCCAGAACTGATGTCATCGGACCTAACAACAACAACAACAACGTACGCCTTTGAAAACTGGAAAATGGGTAAGGAAGACTGAAGAACCGATGCACTTGAATGATGGTGCTGGTGCAGAAGATTGGAAGTACCATGGACTGCCAGGGGTACAAGCAAATCTGTCTTAGAAGAATGACAGCCCTCCCCCCCAGTATCATGATCCCAATTCTGCCTTGCAAATCTGGCTAGACCAGAGGATGTACACTGGTACAGATGACAACTTGAAACACAGGGAACCCAGGATAGGTAACTTCATCAGGACCAGCGGTGAGAGGGGCAAGGCCTGGAGGGTGAAGGGAATGTGGGGTAGAAGGGGGGAACCAATTACAAGAATCTAAGTATAGCCTCCTCCCTGGGGAATGGACAGCAGAGAAGAGGGCGGAGGGAGACATCGGACAGTGTAACTTATGACAAAACTACAATAATTTATGAATTATGAAGGGTTCAGGAGGGAGGGGGGAGGGAGGGGGGAAATGAGCAAACGATATTGAGGGCTAAAGTAGAGGGCAAATATTGTGAGATTGATGAGGGCAATAGGTGTACATATGTGCTTGACTCAATGGATATATATATGGACTGTGATTAGAATTGTACGAGCCCTCAATAAAATAATTTTAAAAAAAGAATAATGAGGGTAACAAATGTACAAATGTGCTTTATACAATTGATGTATGTATGGATTGTGATGATTTGTATGAGGCCCCAATAAAATGACTTAAAAAAAAAAAGAATTACAGTCAACATGTTCCTTAGAAGGAAGGATGCCAGACTTCGTCTCACATACTTTGGACATTATCAAGAGAGATCCGTCCGTAGGGAAGAACATGCTTGGTAAAGAAGGTCAGCAGAGAAGAAGAAGGGCATCAAGGAGATGGATTGACCCAGTGACAACAGCAATGGGTTCCAACATTTTGAGGAGGGGAGTGTTTGCCTCTGCTGTGCATAGGGTTGTGATGAGTCAGAACCAGCATGTGCTGGCAGAGCTGGGAGAGGGCATATGGAACTGCATTCTGAGCCTACTGGATCAAGAGGGATGAAACATCTATTTGAATAAGAACTAGGAATTTAAAACCCTGAAAGAACGCAGGAAATGGTATAAATGTGCTGCAGGGTGGATTCCAGAAGGATAGGAAAAGTGAGAGTCCATATTACGTGAGGTAGAAACACTGAGAATTTTCTCATAGCCATTATTATAAAAGTAGAAGGGGCTACCTAAAAGAAATAATGAATGCTCTGTAGCTGGAGCAATTCACACATACAATTGGGATTATGTGCTTTTTCTCACGATCATTTGTTTGGGTTCTACTTCTTCCACTAGCTTGAGCTCTGTGCGCCCAGTGCCTGGCAGAGATACAGACAGAATCCCAGTACATACCCATTGAACCAATAAATGAAGGACTGTCATTAGGGACTTTATATATCACATAAGGGATAGACTAGAGTCAGAGAGACTAGATATTTTTGTAAAAGTTTTTCCCAGTTCTTAGATTCTAATTTTTAAAAATTTCATTTCTCAAAAAATTGTCTGGTTTAGAACATTTATAGAGTATTTTCCTAAATCAACTCTTCCATTGCCTCTTGTGGTGCATACTTATTTTCTATACAATATCACAGTATAGTTTTCTAGAGTTTTCATAAGCCTCACATGAATTCCTATAGACCTCAGGAAAATTCGTGTTTGTGAAAGCGATCTAGAACCTTCTCTAGAATAACATACTAACACATTTAGTTTTGTAGTACTCGCTCTTTTTCTGTACTTCTCTTAGAAATGGGAATGGGTCAGTTTTTACCCCAGTGGGGATGGGAAGTACTTAGGATTTTTTGTTTTGTTTTCTCTTGCATGACTATAAGAGCAGAGACAGGGTGAAAGGTGTGGTGGGGGTGGAGAGACACTAGTTACAGTCCAGTTGTTGAGGCTACTGAAAAAAGGGTATTTGTCTTGTCACATTTCTAGTGGGGGGGTCACCCCCTAATGACAATAAAAACCAAGTCTGACAGATTCCTCCCATATGGGAAATTCTAATTAAAAAGCTACAAGAATGAAGAGTTTGTAGCAGTTTGTCTCAAAAATAACTGAAGTGTTGTAACTGATTGCTTCTGTCTCAAAACTTACTGTAAGGATTACAACTGATTGCTTCTGTTTTGTGGCTTTTAACGGAGGCAGCTCTGAGTGCTATCTCATTCCTCTGGTGTTAATTGATTAAAGTTGAATCCCTGCCCCCACCTCCAGGATTTTTCAAGTTGATGCTTTGTTTTCCTAAACTCCTATCTTTCCATGACATTCTACACACGAAAAAGACATCATGTTCTGCTATCATGGGAATGTGGTTGCTCAAGACGGATGTTAATGACCATTTGATTAGAACGAAAAGTCAAAATGACTGTGGGAAAGAGTGCTAATAGTCTTAAGAGATCGAAAAAGATAGCTATGCAATACTAACACACTTGGAAGACTCAGAAACATTTTAGGGTTGTTTTTTATCCATGTGATAGCAACGTGTTGGCCTCTCCTGAGCGGCAGCCACCTTCCCTGCTAAACGAGGCCAGCGACCATGTGCCTGCTGTGGTCTGCTTGGGACATTCCGTGCCTAGGCTCCCAATCGGTATCTATCGAACAGACAAAGGAGTGCAATTAGAGATTCTATGCATAACACAGGGGCTAGACTAGAGAGAGGCAGGTGACTTGAGAGTCATTTTCCTAAATAATTGGTTTTTAAATTTTCCTGAGGAAGAATAATAAAAATATGTTCCCCTCTGAAAACCACACATGGAGTACTGATTGGTCAATACATTTGTCTATCGTCTGGGGAAAGCAAGGGCGAAAGCCAATGGGATTGAGGCTTGAAAGGGAACCAGATTCTGGTTTGTCTTTTCAGACCCCTTAATTATCTTACATCAGACACCCTCCTACTCAGTCCTCGGGACCATGTCCCCTTTCCTCCATTGCAGTCAATGGCATGGGGCCTCTCTGGAGGTCCTCAGATGAGACGCGGCTATTTCTCCTCTGGGAAGATCTTGCTTGACTTCTTCCTGATCCCATTCTCCTCCTCCCCTGAGCCAGCTTCTCTATAATTCAAAAGGTTATGTAAGTGCTGTTTTCCGGTATCTTGTCATAAGTCCTTTGATCCCCGGTATTGCTTCTTCAATGAGGTGCCTGGCCAAAAAAGAAAAAAGGTTAGTTACAACAAAACCTTCCGATCTTATTATTGAAAAATAAAGTTTTTCAAATGTTAAAATTTTACAGCATAACATTACTTACTTTTTCTCGATTGTTTTCTTCTAATGTAGTCTTAACTTTCCTTATCAACATTATTTTCATTCACTTTCATCAAATATTGTGGGAATGAGGCTCTGGGCCAATACATCATAATGCTATCTTGATTTTCCAGCTTACACATTCCAAAACTCTAAGAAATGAAAAAGTTTGGTGGGACACAGTTACACAAAGGATATAGGGAAAGAAGGAGACAGTGATGACATATCTTCGTGGTCATAGTTTTGTTGGGTAAGATGGCAAACTATAATGTCCTTGTCTTTAACTTGTTCATCATTGTATCTAACATAGAAGGTAGAGAGGAATAGTAATTTCTGATTTTAGAATGTTCAACACTCTCCTTTTGAGCAACATATTTTGGTACATTTGGGTAAAATTCACTTTACACAAACAAAAAAAGTAAAGATGAGCAATTATCAGTTGAGCTTAAGCAATGAACAAACGATCTTTTAATCAGCAGCCTTAGCTATTCCCTTTGACTAAATTTATTGGGAAAATGCCCAGTACAATACTTTTCAACTTATCTTTCCATGTATTTTTGTAAGAATTAGACTGTGATTACATATGTGGATTGTTTAGCTAGGAAGGAGAGTAAAGCTTTACATAATCCCTTTGCTTATTTAAGAGGTAAATCCTATATTAACTCCTGGGTTAATGAAGCCAAAAATAAGATATAAATAACTCAAATCCATAAAACTGTTAAATTAGGAAATTACTAGCATGATAAAAGTCCTTCATTTCTAAAAAAAAGGTCATAAATATCTTTCCATATTCAATGTAGTACTTGCACAGCAATAAGAGGTTATAACTGGCCTAAAGATTTTCAGAAAACTAGGAGCCATCACATTTTAAAGACTTATTTTAAAATGCATCTTTTAACCTGATCCCTAGAGTCACACCTAGAAAACAAATTCAGGAACAGTCATAGCTATGGGCAAAACATCACCAAGAAGCTCCTGAAATGGTGGCCTCCCACCGAAGAATTAAATGTAACCACAATGCTAGTCAACTTGTTCTCTGTCCTTTAATTCAACTGACATTTACAAAACGACTTCAGCAAAAGGAAATAGAGCTCTTGTATCCAGAAACTTCTGAGTCAAACCTCCCATTTTGCAAGTAGGGGGCTACGTTATCAAATATTGCCAGTAGGTTTCTGCCTCATGCATATAGTGGTTCATTCTGTACAATATTTGACCAAATATGTTTCTGCTATCACTGGAGGGCTGCAGACATGTTCTCTTCAGTGATATGCTTACCTTAGTCTCTTGTTGTTGTTGTTGTTGTTGTTGTTGTTGTTGTTGGTTCTGACCCATAGTGATCTTTTATGTACAACAGCAACAAAAACCCACTGCCCAGCCCTGTGCCATCCTCACAGTTATTCCTAGGCTAGAGTCAATTGTTGCAGCCACGGGATCAATTCCTCTCCCTGAGGGCCCTCCTCTTTATCGCTGCCCAGGACCAGTCTCTCCGGACAACACATGCACATATCATCATCCTGGCTCCTAAGGAGCACTCTGCCCTTACTTCTTCCAAGACAGACTCTGGCAACCGGGGGCCTTGCAACTTCTTGCCTCGTGCAGATTACAGGGTGGACCCTGGTATAACGATTAGGTCCTTGAATTAGTTGGCAAGGCAGGAAGTTTGACTACCTCTGTACCACCACCAGACAGGAAGGAGATTCAGCACTAGGCACCTTTCATGCTGTCTGTCAAACCATAGCAGAATCATTCCGTGCTTGTTATTTTGGGTAATAGAGTGCAGTTTGAATCACTGGAGTGATTTAGTTAAGTCATTTGAGTTGGTAATCCTTGGTTATGTGTGATTTTTTAAAAAAAAATAAATATTATGGGAGGAAGATGGGGCTTTCTACTCCCCCAAACAATTACAGTCTTCAAAACTCATGAGGAAATTCTACTCTGTCCATTTGATAGGGTTGCTATCAGTTGGCATTGATTCGATGGCAGTGAGCTTGGTTTTTGTTGTTGTGATATGAGACATAAGTAGAGGCAGAATAGATGGAAGGAAGAAAAGAAAACATAATTTTGTCTTCTCAAAACATGGAATAATACAAAAAATTGTGCATACTGGCTGCACATAATTGTGCAGAATCAGTGGTACTTATCTGTGCCTATAGTCATGAAGTACATTACGGATTCATGCTTACACTGTATTTCACCTCAAAATAAAATATCCACTTGCGTATTACTAATGCCAAAAACAACATCAGTAAGAAAAGGGGACATATACTTGTAAGCCTTATTTCACTATGCAGAAGCTCACAGGGGAAAAATTTCACAGAATCCCACCTCCAAGATGCCCCTATCCGATCACCTTTCACCACCTCCGCATGGCACCAATGCACTTTCATCCAAATTATGCAGTCACGCAAGCCCCTACCCTGGCCTGACCATGCATGGCAAGTGGTACAAAAGCATACTAATAAGCTGTGGAAGCAGACAAGGGAAGTGGTACTGATTTGTACCTGTGGTCATGAAAGAGTGAAAGAAAAGGGCCAGTTCCATTGCATGAGGGCCAGTTTAGGAAATGAGGAACCAGCTGTTGCTACAGGCCTTCCTGATTGAGCCCCTTGTTAAAGTGAAATAATCAGCGTGCACACCACCTGATACCCGATAAGACCTCTGCAGCAGGTGGGAATGAAAAATGGAAGTCTACTAAATCTCTGATGACTTATTTGAATGCAACCATCCCTAGAAATGCTTCATTAGATAATAATCACTGAGACAAGTGCTAACGAAGTCAGACCGATCAAGACACATGTTGTAAACTGAATCTTTCCAGGCAAACCACCGTGTGTGGTCCTTATCCTCTTATTTGGCATTATTATCATGAATTCTTCTGCGCCTTCTGATGTTAATCCACTCAAGACCACCTCACAGCCCAGCTCAGAAACTCAAGTGATCCTTTGCTTCTTGAAATACAGACTATCCCTCAGTCCTTGGGTTGAAAAGTTTTCTCTGTATGTGAGGACTCTCAGCTACAAGTTACAGAAACTTCACTTCAGCAAGCTTAAGAAATCCCCAAACAGCAGTAGCAGCAGCAAGTGACATTTACCGAGAGGCTCCTGGAGCAATTTGTAGAATTAAAGATGAAGAGTTGGTCTTCAGCCTGGGGTCCTAGAAGCAGGAATTCAATGGCAGTAGTTTCTCTCTCCTCACCTTTATAGTTTTCTGCATGTGTGTATGTGTGGTGGGGGGGTGTTGATTGCCCCACTTCCTCCCTAATTCACCACCAAAGGTTGAGGGGAAGAAACAACTTCTTTCCTTGAGTGAAAAATCACAGGTGAAACTCCTTAGAGATAAAATGTCAAATTATATTTAAAAGTATAATATAATGCTTAATTAGATGGAAAAAAGTTTATCATTAAAATGACAGTGTGCATACACTACTCATACCTTGTAACCAAACACGTTTGATTCACAAGGGTTTGTGTGTATTTCTTCCCTACTCCAAATGTCCACATTAAAATATGCACATAAATGTTTATAGCAGCTTTATTTTTAATTGTCTAATATTGGGAGCACTCAAGATGCCCTTTGACATATGTCCTGGGGTGTACACATATAATGAAGTACTATTCAGTGGGGGTTTTTTTAATGAGCTACCAAGCTGTAAAAAGTTATGAAGGTCCTGTAAATGTACGTTGCTATAGTGATAGGAACCAGCTGGAAGCACTAGATCCTGTGTGATTCCACTTATAGAACATTTTGGAAAAGGCAAAACTACAGAGCCAGCAAAGACAATAGTGGTTGCAAGAACTCCAGAAGGAGAAGGAGAGGATGAATAGATGAAGTACAGGTATGTTAGTGGAAGTGACATTCTTCTGTATAACACTGTACTGATGGATATATGACATATACGTTTGTCAAAGCCCATAGAACTGTACAACAGAAAGATGTGATTTATGGACTGGACTCACTGCCATTGAGTCAGGGACGAATCATAGCAACCCCCTGTGGGTTTCCAAGACTGTAACTGTGTATGGGAGTAGAAAGTCCAGTCTGTCTTCTGCAGAGATGCTGGTAGTTTTGAAATGCCGACCATGCGGATTGCAGCCCAGCAAGTTACCACTACACCATCAGGGTTCCATGGTGCGAATTATGGACTGAAGTTAACAAGAATGTATTCATATTGGTTCATCGATTATAACAAACATGCCACAGGACTTCAAAGTTTTAACAATAGGAGAAAGTATGCAAAGGGGAGAAGTGGCACATGGGATATTCTGTACAATCTGTGGTTTTTCTGAAAACATAAATGCTCTCAAAATACTTTTAAAAATTAAAAATACTATTGTGGAAGTATATGATAAACAAGTGAACCCCAATTAAATCAATCTCCCAAAACAGCGTTCAGAGATGGAATTTGTTTCTAGTCATTCGCATTTAGGAAGGATAAAATGAAACAAAATAAGCAAATGAAAAGCCTCAAAGAAGTGAGAGGGATGACAGGCCAGGTGCAAGGCTCATTGTTTTGCAGGATCTACCCTAATGGTCTAATGAGGCTAGTATCGCTGATTTAGCTTGTTTGGGCAAGTGGAAGAGAAAAGTCACATCCGTCTTTTTATTTTCTTTCTTTCTCTCATTCTCTCTTTTAAATATCTATCTTTGCCCTTGAAAGATGTTGCCAAAATTTAAAAAAATTATCTGGCCAAAATGTATTTCTGGAAATGTTTAAATGAGATGCTCTTTTTCAATAAGCTGCTTTGGATTCATTTCCTTCTAGATCTTGCAAGTTAAGGAAACAGATTCCGAATTTGAAGACTTCTATGCTTTCATCATTTTATCACTGCATTCTTACCTGGACTTTTGCTAAATAAATATGTGCACTTTCCCTCCACCGCCCCCTCCCCCACCCCAGTGTAAGATCAGTTTAAGCATTGAGGGGGGAAACAAATAAAAAGAACAGCTATTAAATCATTAAAAACAAAACAAAACACTTGCTGTTGATTCGATTGTAGCTCACAGCAACCCTATAAGACAACACAGAGCTCCCTGAGAAGGGTTTTGAAGGATAAAATCTTTACAGAAGTGAACTGTCCCCCAGAAAGCAACTAGGGGTTTCACACAGTGAAACTTTGGATTAGCGGTGAACATTTAAATAACACTGTTCTAGAATAAGACCAAAAAAAACAACAAAAAACCACGCAAGTTTTAAGTTTGAGGCTAATTGAATTATGTAATCTGTCAGGATGTTTCCTGTTTCTCATCAAAAAAACACTACTAAGTGTCTTCTCTTTCCCAGACTGTCTTATGGAGTATGTATATTCTAGATAGATGGTATTAATAAATATCTTGGCAGAAATTATCTCAACAGGAAAGCATTGATTGATTTCCAAGAAAAAGGAGATAATGAAAAAGAACCCAGAATTCTCCAAGCCTCCCAACCTTCTTCCCCAAAGCTCTCGTTTGTTCGAGGAAAGCCGTTGACTTTAATTACTATACACTGATAACACTGTGCTCTTTCAACGGGAGTGAAAGCTTTACGAAACACAACATGTTCTGGGAAAAACACAAGCATATTCTTAATTAGCAATTAAGTTAAGGTGAAAACACTTCCTTCTGTTAATTGAATTTGGGATGAAAATGTTAAGTTCATCAGTATAATTTATCTTGTTCTTCACCATTTACTGCAATTCTGAATCCTGGTTCTACCATGCAACCGATGAATAACTTCTAACAATTTATTTTGAATAATGGGAACAATATTGACTCCCTTAGATCATGGCAGCCAAGAGTGAATAGGAGATAGTGTTGCTTTTGTTAGGTGCCAGCCAGTTGGTTCAGACTCCCATAGTGACTCTATGCACGGCCCAAGGAGACACTGCCCAGTCCTGTGTTATCCTCACAACTCTTCCTGTGCTTTGGACAGATTGTTGAAGCCACTGTGTCAGGCCATCTCACTGAGGGGCTTCTTCTTTTCCTCTGCCGCTCTACTTTCCCCAGCATCATGTCCTTTCCCAGGGACTGGCCTCTCCTGATGACAGGTCCATCTTTGATTCTAAGGAGCAATCTAGCAGTACTTCTTCCACGACAGAGCGGGTTGTCCTTTTGGCAGTTCATGGTACCTTCAATATTCTTTACCAGCGACACAATTCAAAGGCATCAACTGTTCTTTGGTCTTCCTTATGCAATGTCCAGTTTCACATGCATATGAGGCAATTGAAAATGCCCTGGCTTGGAACAGGTGTACCTTAGTCCTCCAAATAATTTCCTTGCTTTTCAATACTCTAAAAAGTTCTCATGCAGCTGATTTACCCAATGCAATGCCCTGGTAGCACAGTGATTATGCATTGGGCTGATAACCCCAAGGTTAGCAGTTCAAAACCACCAGCTGCTCCTGAGGAAAAAATCAGAGCTTTCTACTCCTGTATAGAGTTACACTTTCAGGAACCCACAGGGACAGTTCTATCCTGTCCAGTAGGGTTGTTATGAGTCAGAATTGACTCAATGGCAGCGAGTCAATGTCTTGTGATGACCACAAATAGGATGATATAAGTAAAAACTCACTCCCATCGAGTCAAGTTCAACTTACAGTAACCCTGTAGGACAGAATAGAGCAGCCTGTTGGGTTTTCAAGGCTGCCTGTCTTTGTGGAGGGGACTACTGGTGGCATAGTGGGTTGTGCATGGGAATGCTAACCACAAGGTCAGCAGTTTAAGACCACCATCCATTCTGTAGGAGAAAGATGACTTCCTACTCCTGGAAACCCAGAGGGGCATTTCGACTCTGACCTATAGGGTCCCTGTACATCATGATCCACTTGATGGCAGTGAGTTTGGAGTTTGGAAGTAATTGTGGATGCAGAAACCTCATTTTCCTTCTTTTGGTGTTTTACAGGGTTTGAACCCTGACCTTGTGGTTAACAGTCCAATGCTTAAGAAATAGCGCTTGATAAAAAGAAATAGTAACTAATATAAAATCTAGTAATGATCAGTACAATTTTCAGAAGTCTTTGCTGCGTGTTGAAGTCTATAACTTATAGGAATAAAGGTGAACATTCATAGCACAAAAAAATCCAATCTTCCTCAGGCTTAGAAATATGCGAACTGTGGGATTTTCAGGCCTCTGATAGCTAGCATAAGGATTAATACAGCAACAATATTTAACAAGGAAACAGAACACTTCTCTGAACCTTTCCAACTGTATATACTCCATTTTAAATACTCCATTAAAAACTTTTTTCTAGTTTAGGAAGGAACATTATTTAAATTTCATAAGTATATTTTAGAAGTACATAACATAACTTTGAGTACTAAGGTGTGCCTGACTCAATCCATGATAGTTTCAGTTTCCACCGATA